CGAGCAGGCTAGAAACCCGCCGAGAATCGTACGATTCTCGGCAGGTTTTCGAACATGTTGGCTCGACAAAAGACGTGCGACCGTACAGTGGATACGGTCGCGCGTCTTAGTTCACACTGCTCGATTCTCGTACGATCGCGGGATTTCGCCCGATTCTCGTACGAGAATCGAGCAGTGTATGGGCACCTTCAGTCTTCTGCCTCCTAATGTAAACAAACCGCAGATGGGCCTCAGCTGTTAGAAATTGAATAGAACCGAACTTTAAGCTCACCACACATTCTAATCGTATTGTGCAATATCCTTTAAGGTGACACTGCACGATTCTTGTACGAGAATCGTGCAGTTTGAATGAAGACGTGCAACCGTTTCTACTGTACGGCCGCAAGTCTTTTGTCTAAGGCGCATGCTAGAAAACCAGCCGAGAATCATATGATTTTCGGCTGTTTTTTAGCATGCCCGGGAGACAAATGCCGAACGGGCCGGTGTGCACACGCGCACACTGCCCGTTCAACATCGCGGTCATCGGTAGCCCGCCCCTCAGGGGGGAGGGCTTGCGATGGTCGCAAGTACGATCTGCCTGTCCAAGATGGGCAGATCGTACGTGTTTTTAAATTACTTTACAACCACTGAGGTCTTGCGATGATTGTAAAGTGTATGTCCAGCCTTAGAGCTATCAACAGCCATGTAGCGCATATTGCCTGCCTTTGTGGATACAAATTGATTGGACAGATTAGGTAGGTCCTCGTATTAGTTTTGATAAATCTAAAGTTGATTGCATGGTCAGATTGTAACACGTATGGTGATCTTTGAGAATTAATTACTGCACATTATAAGCGTGAGTGTGTTTTTAAAGGTTTTACGTCTTGTTATGAATATGTAAATGGGGAAATGTCCATAGACTGGGCACAGATGCTTTTAAAAACAATCACTTGGGGTTAATTCACATTTGTTGGGGTGCATTACAGTAAGGTGGCCTATTTCTTGGGTGGTTGATGCACACTGCAACTCAGACTGTTCACATCTGTGTGTTGTGTTACACTAAACACTTCTGCATTGGGGGCCAGTTAGGATGAATGGCAGTGTTAGGCACGGCACTTAGTGGAGTGCCTTATTGTGCCTAGGTGTGAATGGGCCCTTAAAAGTGCATGTGACGCCAAGATTTTTTTCAGTTTTAATAGGATGTAGACTGGTTAGAAACTGTCAGTTTTTATTACCTTTTTTGGTCCTGGTGGCTTGTTTCTGGTACGAACCGTGAAGTGCAATCCAAAATTGCAGTTATCATGTGGGGGACACTTGTTCTAGCATGGCTGTCTATGGGAATTTCCTCCCATTTCCTGTTGGGCCTCTGTGAGGGTAATTTTCCCGATGGAGCACAGACAACAAAAACCCTCACATGGGGTTTTATACCTTCCCTACACTTTCCAAAATGAAGAATGTTGGATTTAGATACTTTAGGTAATCTTATCCTTTCCAGGTCTGGTAGCAAGTTTTCTGTGCTTGTTCTGATACCTGCTTTGTTAGGTTCCAAATTTATTTAACGTACAACTAAACCCAATTGCTGAAATCGCATATTGGCAGCTACATGTTGTACACTTTTAAAAATGTTCACTTTTTTTTTTTTTTTTTTTTATTAGCTTTTACTAAAAGAAAACCTTGTGATACTTCTCTGAAAGTCCTTATTAAGGCACTTCCTGTTGTGGGGTGACAACTGCCTCCTGTGTTGTCACCATGTCACATCCTTCCTGGCTGAGACTACAAGCGGCTCAGGAAGCCGGTACTAAGGAGTGACGTGCAGCTGGCATTTGAATGCGTGCACACCAGAAGTGGCTTAAAAAGGCTGGAGGAGATCAACTGTAACAAGATGTTCACAAATGTAGCGTATCTAAATCTAGTGTGGAAGGTGTAGAACCCCTGTTGGATTTTCTATTGCGGTCTGTACCCCTGCTGGGGAGATTTTCCCTCTTTGTCTTTGTGAAAAAAGTGGCAGCTATTAGTCCCTTCTCCATCCAAATCTTAAATAGAGTTTTGGCTTAAAATACACATAAAAGTAGAGAAGTTGTTTTAAAGTAAAAAAAAAAGAAATGCCAACTAGCAGGCTTTATATGACAGAAGAGGCTGTGTAAATATCCTCTGCTACAGAAGCTTCTTGCTGCCCTTCAGCTGTTTTCTGTACACTGAGCTGCACATGCTGAGATGACGTGACTCCTGTGCGCATACGCAGAGGTTGTCATCAGGGCTCAGCCGGTCAATCGGCCAAAGACTTCTAACCTGAAAGAAGATCGGGAAGAAGATGGCAGCGCTGGAGGGGATCGCTTTGGAAGTGAAGTCTGCCATAAAGTGCTAATATGCACCAGCCCCCCCCTTTTTTGATGTCATCCAGTGAGTGTATAGAGCTACTTTAATGGTATAGTAATTAAACTGTAGGTATAAGATTCAAAAATGTCTGGGGACTTGCATAGGGTGATCTATATCACAAAGACATGTGACTACTTCACCTATATGTGAACACGGCTAATATAACTATAGTATTCCTTG